TAACCTTTCATTTGAAATTTAATGCTGAGGACTACACATTGATCCTGAGCGATTTCTTGGAACAGCATCAATTTTCCATTTAGAAAATTGCATTTTTTCCAAGTTTAACCCTGTGTGGGATGTTGTTAATTTTTTCCTGAGAGACACTTTCCAATGGAAACTTCCTCTTTTGGTCTGAAATTCAAACTGGTTTTGCCAAACCCTAGGAATTATGATCAATAAAATAGGAAATGCTATATAGGGAATTATAGTTGAATTGGAGGAGTGACATATTTAGAAGATGAAGGCCAAGTGCAAAAAAGTAATAAAACAGAGTCAGAATTACAGTTAAAATTAAAACAGGCCTGTGGCCAAATGTAAAGATACTGTATGAGTAGATGATAGTGGAAAAAAATATTGAAAGCAAAGCCAGAGTAGTAGCTGGCAACAGATAACATCTGGCTGTGGATTTGCCATGAAATTCACTTCAGAGAACTGGTGGGTGAAGAAATTTTTCTGTCATGGGGTTGGAAGAAGACAATGTTTAATGTTCCTTTCAATACAAGCCATTCTATGATTCCATGAGGAAATTCCAACATAATGGCAACAATTGCCTCAATTTCTGTGAGGAAATCCCAACACAATTGTTTCCATGAGGAACAAAGGTGTTGTAAGTGTCCCATGGTTCTGTGGTGGCTCCATGGTCAGCCTTCTATATTTGGGAGCTCAAATTCCTGAGGCAGATTAGAGGCTCTGAGCCCTGTAAGCAGCATTAAAGGGCAATTCCCAGTAAACATTCCTGCAAACACTGTGTGTGATGGAAGCTGTGGGTGCTGCAGCTCACAGGGATGGACCTGAGCTGTGCTGGGGGCTGAGGACATCACCATCGCTGTGGAAGCAGTTGGAGGTGCTGGATCATGCAGCTGAACCAGGGGCTCCTGCAGTCGCATTCACCACCATGAGGAGCCAGGCTGGTGAATTTAAAGCTGAAGTTGTGAGCTGCTGCCCTGCCTGTGAGGCAGCACAAATGTATTCTGGTTATTGCATATGGATACAGCTGGGCCTCAGTGTTTTCTTCATAGAATCATTGAATCACAGAATGGTTTGTGTTGGGAAGGAACCTTAAACATCTCATGCCAAACCCTGTGCCATGGGCAGGGATGTAGGGGGATACAGTATGGGTAAATGAAGATGGTGTAGAGTGTAATCTTATCCCCTAAAGAGTTGCAGCTGGAGCAATTACTAAAGATTAGGAGCAGGCCTGATGTTAACAGGCCACACCTGTAACAAATAAGAAGAGTGTTATAAAAGAGTGGATTGGTGGGAACTAGAGTCAGTTGGCTGCTGCAAGGACCAGGAACAGTTGGTGCTTAGAGGAGCTGACTATGAGAAACATCAAGGAGTCATGAAAGGTGATATGGAATCCTTACACTGTAATGATAACTTTTAACATATAAGACAACACAGGGGCATCTTCCACTATCCCAGGTTGCTCAAAGCCTCATCCAGCCTGGCCTCAAACACTTTCATGAATGAGGTATCTACAGTTTCTCTGGGAAATTTTTCTTTGCAGATTCCTTGCAGGAAAGTTGGAACTAGATGATCTTTAATGTTCCAACCTAGACCATTCTGTGGTTCTCTGATTTTGAGAAAGTAGCATTGGTAGCTGGCAGAGATTTTTGGAGCTATGCATGTGTGCACAACCAAAGGCAAACGTTAATTTGAAGAGTCCTGAATACAGTCATTTATCAGATAAATGCCATGTCCATAGAGGTGTTTTCAGACACAAAGCTGAGTTGAAAGTTAGATAGAAAACAAACAAACAAAAAACCTCAGCCACTCATCCACATGGGAACTGAGCATACTACAGGGACAAGTCTTGAAAAGAAACCACGCAGAACTCTTGTTCTGCTACACAAACCTTTTGAGTCCTGTGGCTCCTCTGTGGACACAGCTACACCCAGGGATGGGATGACGAGAGGGAATAATGTGTTGGGTCCATCTCTCCAGGAACCTCACCTGACTGGTTAAAGCTGGAGAGTTTTCCATGGAGGGATGGAAACTTAACTTATCTGCCTGAACATGGAAGGAGAGCAGATACCTTTTATTCTTTATAATTTTTGTTAGTGTCCTGAATTTTGAATCTCTGTTGGTAGTTGACAGTTACACAGCCATTAGAGGGGATGTTTCTGCACTACTTGATGTACCCCTCACAGCTGCCCCACTTTTGGGACTGCTTTGGCTGCAGAGGGATTGCATTGCTGGCTCAATGTCACTGATGTATGCTTTGAGAAGGTGGCTATGAGAGCAGCCTGCATTGTTGACTCCAAACTACTTGCTGTAATTTTTTAAAAATCTGATATTAAATAGAAAATGGATCTGAAAGTAAGTCAGAGCACTTCAATATCCTTTTCTTTGCTTCACTCCAGTCTTGCATATTTAATTTAATAGACACATTTTGTTTCTTATATCATATGAACTAGGAGATGAATCTATTACATTTGTGTATTCTGCTTGCCTTATGGCAGATTTTATACTGAGATGATTCAGGAATATTTTTTCAATGTATTCCTGAAAGATTGCATAATGAGATGAAGGGGGAAAATACATATTATAATTGAGTATATTTGTAGAGTTGGCAGTGTGTTTTATCATATTTCCTGTGTTGGTATGGGTTTGGTTTTTTTGAGACAAATAGTTTTCCTTTCCACTGTGCTACAAGTTAGGATTCTAAACCATTGGTTGAGCTACAAAGATAATTATTCAGCCATGAAAATATTAATTCCAGAGAAATCAGATTATTATTTGCACCTGGATGCAAAATAGCAAAGGCTTTAATGACGTTTAGGTAGAACTTTATTAACATCTGAATATCTCTGGAGAGCTATGGTAACAGTAGGAGAAGGATTAAACTCAGAATTGTTTGTTTTCCTGCAAGTAAATGAGGAGAATTGCAACTCTTCTCCATGTGAGCCAGCTGAATATTTGCAGAAATTAACCAATTTGTATCAGAGCCAGCATGGATCCACTCTTATCCACCTTCTCCCCTTTCTTCTGCTCTATCATGTACAATGTTAGTTGCAAGGAAAGGAACAGGCAAAGATTGCCCCCAAAATATCCTTGTGTTCCAGTGTGAGGTACATAAATGTTTTCTGCAGCAGTGTTGATGACTGGAAGGTTTCTGACTCCTTGCAAGCATCATTTGAGAGTGTATTACTTCTTCTGCTGCACAATCCCTTTTGGTGTACCCTGGAGGACATAGGAGTAACTATTTTTTTGTGATGTATGTTATTTCTTCTTAAATCTTATGATAAATGGTTTAAGTCCAGCAACATTACAAGTCTTCTCCATGTGAGTCAGCAGAATATTTGCAGGAATTAACCAATCTACATCAGAGCCAGCATGGATCCACTTTTTTCCACCTGCTCCCCCTTCTTCTGCTCCATCACAATGTCAGTTGCAAGGAAAGGATCAGGAGAAGATTGCCCCCAAAATATCCCTGTGTACAGAGCAGCTCCTCCTAGGGCAGCAGAATTAGGGCCTGCAGTCATGGCAGGAAGGCAGATTTCTGCTGCCCCTTGGGTGGGATTGCTGCAGTCAGAGTGAGCTGCAGCAGCTGGAGAGCTCTTGTTGGAGAGCTCTTGTTTAAGAGCTCTGTGTCTGCAGCCCAAAGCTATTGTGCCTGGGGCTGCAGACACAGCCACTGCCTCCCCTCCTTGGCTCATGGCCAGTCCTGCCTGGAAAAGACAGATAAACTGAAAGGAGCCCACCAGACTTTATGGATCACCACTCCAGGCTGCCCCAAATCTTCTCAAACATCAAGCCTGTGGCTAAATTTTCTCATTACCATTCTTTTAGGTGGTGTTTTCATGGGCCAGGAAGAGATGTGCAGTGTTGGAGGTGGGGTTCCCCTGAGGAAATGGTGAAGACTCCATCCAAATTAAGTGGCTAGTTTTCCTCTGTAGCCAGTGGGGAGAAAGAAGTGTTTCTAGGAGGTGTTATCTCCTTGTCCCCTCTGTAACAGGTGTCTACAATAGGCATGTGAACCCAAATTTGGTACATCTTCCAAATTTGCCCTGGACCAGAACCAATATTTTACCTTGATTAACTGCAGAGGGAGCTGGAGGTGGCTTTCCCCATATGAAACCATCTTATGAAGCTTGCATGTTATTTGAACATGGGTCTCTTCCTTCTGAAGAAGGTTATTCACCATTTCTGCCAGCTACACCCAAACTGGTTGAGAAATGAGATGTTCCTGAGGTTTATTTTAATCACAAATTTCTGGGCTATGAATTTGAAAACAGAGCTATAAACACAAAAAAAAATGTAATTAAATGTGAGTCTAGATTATATGTGGGATCTGAATCAATACTATTAGTAAGACAAATAGCTAATATTCTTTCCTAGCGAACTAGGAAGTTTCTTACTCTATTTCACTGAGTCTGCCCAGGGCTTATCTCAGTCCCAGAGACCATGGGACTGATCTCCCCTCATGCCACAATTCTGCCTTGAGGTGCTCCTCAGAGCTGACCCTGGATGACATTTTCAGGTAGCCCAATACTGGGGTTATCTACCCTTGTTTGCCTGGGATTCCTCTTAAACTGACAAAGAGGGAAAGGCACTTGCAGGAGGGATGATTCCATCCATCTTACACATTCAGCCTATCATGGGATGACTTGTGCTCAAGTGTGGCTTCATCAGATACTGTGATGGACAGAAATTTTCCATCAATCCTGCTCTAAGAGACTGGGAAAAAAATTCCAGTGGCATCTGCCTCCTGTCTATCAAGTGCTTTGGCAAATCCCTCCTTCTGCCCCAGCATTTGTGCTGCACAGCACCTGATGAGAGCCACACTTGCTCTGTGATGAGACACAGCAATCATCAGAGCTGCACAGTGTGTTCCACACCAGCCACTTCCTCTCTGGTTTAATTACAACTGAGCTTGCTAATCCCAGCCTTGATTAATGAGCTTAATATGCAAATGTTATGATGAAACTGAACCTCTTTGTGATTGCTTGCAGACAGATTACCACTTCGAGTACACGGAGTGTGACAGCAGTGGCTCCAGGTGGAGGGTGGCTGTCCCCAACCCGGCCGTGGAGTGCTCTGGACTGCCTGACCCCGTGAGAGGGAAGGAATGCAGTATGTTGTGACTTCTCATTTTACAGACTGTTATTGCTTTTTTTGTGCTATTTACATTGGTAGGGCTGTCACTGATGCCCTGAGTTTGTCCTTTCCCTCCAAGCCAGCTTTCTGCCTGCTGGAGATGTGGAGCAGGGATTGTCTGTGTATCCATGAAAGGCACTGTCTGCTGCAGGTACCCTTTTATGCAGATTCACAGACACATCTCTGACAGCACCCCCTGAAGAGCTGTGGTTGCTTGTCTTGAGCTGCCCTGCAGCTCTCCAGTCAAAATGGTGACCACCAGTGCTCAAACTATATTTGCTATATATTGTTCAAGCTATATAGTGTCCACATTCTCATTATTTCCAATATTTAGCTAATTCATAAACTGAATGTATAAAGAATGGTAAATGTCTTATTTGCCTGAGTTATTTTTATGATAAATCTCCTGCATTTTATTTATTTATGCATTTTTTAAACAATTTGGAGTGTTTTCATATCACTTGGTTCTGCATTTTTTTAATGTTGAAACACTTTTTTGCATCTGGGGGATATAAACAAACTGCTGCTCTGCAAACACAATCCTCACTGTTTCATTGCTCCCCAGTCTGAATGCTCTTTCCTATCACACTTCCTTGTTCCAGCAATTCTCTCCACAAAAGATCCTAGCAGTAATTTATTCCAGAGGGTATAAATTATTGTATCTGACAAACAGGATGAACAATGGCTATGTCTTTTCAGTTCTATTGCAGCAGATGTCAGATTTACTCACTTCTGACTCTGCTACTCTAAAGGTTTATTTTCATTTCTCTGTATTCCAGTGTGAGGTATATAAATGTTTTCTGTAGCAGTGTTGATCACTGGAAGGTTTCTGACTGCTTCCAAGCAGCATTTGAGAATGTGTCATTCCTGGTATTTGGATTTAGTTTCCAAGGTTTTAAATGTGGAATCTCTGTATATCCTTAGGATGGGCTTTTTCAATTACAGAAATCTAGACCTGAGAAGCACCTCAGGTGATCCCATAGCTCACCCTCCAGCCCAAATAGCTGTAGTAGCAATGACTGTCATTCATGGCTGATATTTGGCTGGGCTGTTTTCAGGCACCTCTTGTGATGAAGAGCCCAGAAGCTCTCCAGATATTTGCTCATATATTTAGTTCTTTTCATTTTCCCTCCTGTTGAAGATTTTTCTGCTGTTGAATCTCCCTTGTTACACTCCAAGCCTATCACTTTTTGCTGCCTGCACTATAAAGGAGCTGATAGTTTTATTTCTTCTGCTGCACAACCACTTTTGGTGTACCCTGGAGGACATAGGTATAACTATTTTTTTTGTGACATACATTATTTCTTCTTAAATCTTGTGATAAATGGTTTAAGTCCAGCAATATTACACTGTCCTCAACTTTCTGCTACAGATTTTGACAAATGGTTCACTTCCCTCTCCATCTTCTATTGTTTGTGCCTGTTTCTGGTCTTAAATCAATTCCAATGAGAATTCAGCTGGTTTATAACAATAGATGAATCTGGCTTTTCAATATCTGGCCCCTGCTAGACAAGGTGAAAACTTTTCCTGGGAGATGGGCTCTGATATTATACACCAAAATACAGGATTCTGTTAAATATACTGGAAAACTCTTCTCCTTCTTGTAGTGTTGATGTTAAATCCCATGGCAATTCAGCTGGTTTGAGAAGCAATCAGATGTTTGACTTTTTTACTGAACCCCTCAGATCCCATCTCCCTGGGCTCTTGGAGTTGTATATTTTCTTTCTGTGTGTAGTAAATTAACTGGCAGCAGGGGCTGTCTGGCTATGTTCTGATGGCAAAAGTAATTTTAGGTTTTCTCATCTCTTAGTCTTTCACCTTTTGCTTAAAGAACAACCAATCTTTCAGCCTGAAAACATGAATCTGTCAACAGCAGTCAGTCACTGTGGGACTGTGTGGGGAACACCTTTCACATTCAGCTTGGTTAACGTAGTGGTTTTTGCTGTAAAATATTTTAACCAGCAGAGAGTTTGGCTGACAGTCCATTCTCCAGTGGGTGGGATAAACTGGGAGAGGCAGCTTTTGAAAAGTGACTGCCCCACAAATCTCTGGAGTTTGCCTGTGGGGTCTGTTGTTGATGATGAGCTGTGTTGAAGGTGCTGACAGATATCTCCTTGTCACATTCTCTAAGCTGGTGGCTTCTGTCTCACCTGACAATGCAGCAGCTGTACCAAGGACATCTTACTCTAAAAGCATGAATTTCTGCAGCCTAAGGAAAACAAAAGGTTCTGTATCTGAGGCTTCTACAAGTCATGTTCTTTGCGGATTGTGTGCAGAGTGAGATTTGTGCTGCAGGCTTGGCCAGGGTTTGCACACAACTCACATTATTGGCTCTTTGAGATGCATTCCTTCTCTCAGGCCTGGTGCTATTTTATCCCAAGGTCTATGAAGAAATGCCAGAACTATGCCATATCCTCTGAGCTGAGTCTCTGGACATTCTACAAATTTATTCAGATTCTCCTACATCTTTCAAGTCCTACCCTATGCCAGGACATAGGAACTGGGGCTCATTCTGGAATGTGGTAGAATCCTGGAATCCTCTTGGGTTTCTCTTTGGTCCTACAACCCAACCTGCACAAATCAGGGCCTACAGTAAAATCACTCTGGGTAGGACAATTTCCAGCTTCCAGTTTCCCCCTTCCAGAAGTCTGCTATCTTCAGAAGTTGTGTTCAGCATCTATTAGTCCTGAGATACCCTGTGGCAAACAATGTCTCTGCCTTTAAGAGAGGGTTGCACTTGTATAGCAGTTGCAGTTGTGAAATAGCATAAGTTCTTACGGTGTTTTTTTATTGTTTCCTTGGGGTTGGTAGAGCCCTTAGTGGACACAATGGCATGAGGGAATCTGTATGAGAAAGTGATTTCTTTTGGAGCACATCTGCCATCACTGCTGACTTCACAATGTTTGCAGTCGTTTCCATCTACTCAGAAATGCTGCTGGTTGGGAATATCTGCCACTGGTCTTTACCGCTCCCTGAAAAGAGAAGTGATGTGCAGTCTGTCATTAATTTTGAATCCTGAGAATACTGTGCCAACCTCTCCTTCTTCCAAATGCTCAGCAGTCGGTCTCTTTAAGTTGTGTCTGAACTAGAAATGTGAAAGATGGCATAACAATATGTTAAATGTCTCCTGCTTTGTAAATACGTCTAGACTGTGGCCTCCAGTGGAGTGGAAAGACACTTGAGATTGCTAAAAATGTGTTAGCTCAGGTGCTTCCCATATCTGGAGCAATTGGACTGTGGCATCAGAGCTCAGTCGGTGTCCTGAGATGTGCTCGTGTTCAGGATGTTGTGTTTTACTGCTTCTCATTTGGATGAAACCATTTCAAATTACCTTGGGTGTCTCTGTGCTCTGCTGCATTTTGGAGCACACAGTGAAATGCAAATCACAGCTGACTGTGTCCTGCTGAGCACAGCCTCAACATTCCCTGAAACTGCTGTAGGCTCCAAAACCTGCCAGGATCCTACCCCATTTTTGAGTCTTCAGAAGCTTCATCAGCACAGCTCACCTGCAGAGTAGAGAGTGTCCTCAGTAGACAGGGCTGTCATATTTTGACTGCTTTGTGACCTGGTTACTAGGAGAAGGATTTTTATATTTTTTTTCTTTCTATGAGCACAGAGCAGCACAATGATCCACCTTCCCCTCCTGCTGCCCTCCTGCCCTCCACATCTCTCCCATGTAGGTGGGAAGGAAGGAGGAGGCTCACATGAGACATTTTTGTGGTGCTTAGGAAGTCCTGCTAAGCAGTGACCCAGATATGTAAGGGAAGCTGCAGTAGCAGCTCTGCAGTTGCAGCATGCCCTGTTCTGTATTTCACTCCCCTCTGTTTTTTTCTGTTCTCCTTGCTCTGTGGGGCTGAATCCATCACCACTTTCCAACCCTGCAGCCTGTGTGCATGGTGTGGTACCTCTGTGGGGCTGGCCACAGCTGTGTCACCTGTGCCATGGCCACACCAGACTGCTTGGGTACCTCTCTCCTCTCAGGTTTCTGTTTGTTCAGAGCTGAGTCACATTTCTGATGCTGCCACATCACGGTTGCAAGGGTTCCTGTGAAGAGATGCATTAAAAATCCAGAAAGATTTTGGCCAGGGAAAAGGTAATATTTATTACTCCTAGAGCTATTCTGGCTCTCCTCTGGCTTCCCATTTAAGGTATCCCCTCTGGGCATCTTCCCAAAACTGTTCTGGAGGTCGGATGCATACAGGGAGGTGGGAGTGGCAGACAGAGGTCCTCCTTCTGCAGAATCCAGACCTCTGAATCACTCCTGACAGTTGGGAATGTGCTTTACTAATTTGATCTCCTTCATTTTTAATTACCGCAGATCTCTCTCTGATCCCTCCATGAGTCTGATAGCAGGAAGGGAGTTCAGCTGATAAGGATCACTGCCATCAGGGCAGTTGCTTGGCTTTTTAAATGGAAAATATTGATGGCAGTCCCCGGGAGCAGCTTCCTTTAGGGCTAAGCCCTTTCCTGCACCCCCTGATGGCTGGGATCTCTGGGAGCCCTTTGCTTTGGTGTGGGGCTGTAGGCAGTGTTTAATGGGGAATTTTTGGGATTTGGCAGTGGGAGCAGCACTTGGCATGATGCTCCTGCTGACACTGCACTGCAGTCTGTTTTTGTGGCCACCATCAAGCTCTTCTGCCAGCCTGACCATATGCTGCATGTTTTACACTCCAGAGTCTGAATTTGGACCTTCCCTTCCCTTCCCTTCCCTTCCCTTCCCTTCCCTTCCCTTCCCCCCCCCCCCCCCCCCTTTATAGCTTGTGCCCAGCTGCACTGATAGTCTCGTCTCATCAGAATTTTTGCTCAAAAAGAACTTAAAGGCTTCACATTTTGACCTCATACCATCTTAATATATTATCTCTCTTATTCCACAGAATATTAGTTCTTTTTTGCCATCCTAGGTAAGAATAGGTTGTACCTCATCTCCTTATCTCATAAATGTCTGCTCATTTGTAGTGCTGTGAGCATAGTAAAGA